GTCCGATCCCGTCAGGTCCTCTCCGGTTCCGTCCGGTCCCGTACGGTGCCATCTAGTCCCCCAGATCTCAGCCGGTACCCTCCGGTCCTGTCTTGATCTGCTTCATGACGTTCCATCCGGGATCCATCCCGCGCAGTCAGTCTGATTCAGTTCGGTTCTGTGTGGCCCCGTTCTGTCCCGCCCAGACCCTTTCGGTCACAGTCGGCCTGCTAGGATGCAAACGTGTTACGGGAAGCGTCCAGGTGCCACCATGGGCTCACTGCGCTTAGACGCGCATGCAATTTTCATCGGGTTGGTAGATGTTGTGGTTTTGTGACGTCATCGGATAATCAGCTGGAAGCATTGGGGGCCTTCGCTTTCCTCGTACAATCAGCGAACAGCAGCACGCGAAATTTATGCGTCGATTGATGCAAGCTGGGTGTGTGACAGGTGTTAAGGAAAACACACTTGTAATCGCATGGCAGATGGCACACAAAGCTACATGGAGCTGTTGACATTCGTGAATGTGTGGCACATTTACGGCTTCCAATACTGTATGGTTTGCGTTCTAGATTCAGTTGATTCGGGCCGTTGTGGGAAGTGCGAGGCCCATTCCCGCGATGCCACTATTAGCGCCTGCTACCTAACCTACCTATACGATCCAATTGGACTATTCGGTCATTTATACATGCATGCACTCATGTACTCGAGCCATTCCTGAACCCAATCGGCCGCTTACGGAGTGTAGCAATCCCAGGGTGTATATTGCAGAATCTTGAATTCTTGCTCCACGCAGCCCACGCACAACGCCCTCGAGTTTAAACTTCCCGCCCGTTTTGGCCAAGTACCCGGTGACGGTGCGCTTTGTTGTTTTTGCTACAGTTCTACTTAACTTTACAAATAAGGCATGGTAAACCTAGTAATGGAAATTTATCATTATCAGTTTAATCTTATGCACAGCACATTTGTATTTACTAAAGACTCATAAAACCAAAAAAAATTAAATAAAGTGATAATTGTTCTGCTTTTATATTCAATACTTGGTAAAACAATTTTCTTGTTATAGTTTTGTTTTTCAACTAACACAATTTTAAGATATGCTACTACATGAATACACCATGCGGCAGCTATCGCCGCAACTGCGTGTAAAGTGTAGCATTTCAACAGTCATGCGGTCGGCGTTGAGATCGTCGAGGTCGCTTGTCGGCCTTGGGCTGTCCGCGAATGCAGGTAGGGGTGGGACTGTTCGTATGTCGTTTATTCTTGTTCGACTTCCTGCTCTCTTTGCAGAATAATTCAGGCTGCGATTTCACGCTCGCTCCTGTCTGATGATATTTTTCAAGGTTTGGTCTCGTTTAAAAGGCCTGAAGTATTATCGCTCCGGAGTGGTATGGAATGTGCGTCTTTTACGAGATTTGGGATTGTTTTTTATGCTCCTTAGGGTGCTCCTTAGTGCACCTTAGGGTGCACGCTATGATGGGAATATTAAATGATATTTTGAAATTGCTGGAAACATTCTTGTGAGACACCCCCTATGTAGCAGTAGCATGAAGGGAACAATTCTAGAGAATTCACACATTGTGTTGGGAATGTTTCCTCAATATTTGGTGCATGCTCACCACCAATTTCAGTGCAGAGAGAGAGGTAATTTTTCAAGAAGTTTTGATGTGACATGTGTAATTTTAGGTGACAATAGTGAAAACAATTCAAAAGTAATTGTAAAATTCTGTAAATTTGGCATGGTCTGATATGGGCCTACAAAAAGCCCTGTCATCATTGTTCAATGTACTGAACATTATCATCACCATTCTGTGGGCTGTGAGCAGCTATTGCTGAGTTCTGATGCACCAACCACCAATCAGTTTAACAGTCATGCTAGTGTTACTCTGCCAATGACCATAGGTACAATGCCTAATTTTTGTTTTTGTTTTATTTCATAGATTTGCCCATTCACCATCATTTGTGGTGTAATTATGAGGCAGATGCAGTCCAGCAATGATTACAACAGTATGTTATGCAAACCATGCAGCACATCACAAGCATAGGGCACAGATATGGTTGCTTGTTATCTGGTTTGGTATTTCAGGCTAAGGATATACAGACCTCAGGTTTGGTGATTTAGTGTTGTTTGGTGATAGGTGTTGCTACTGTCTGGAATATGAGGCTGTATGACAAAAAAAGCTCTTATTGGATTACATACATGCAAGCCTAACATGGTGCATCATAAATTACTCGGTATTTGCATTTAACAATTCTAAAAGACTGCACATCAGGCTCCCACATTTAGTCAGTTAGGGAAAAATGATGTAAGTAGAAAATTAGTGCCATCATTCTGATTCCCACCTTTGACCCTACCAGCTGGCTCAGGTCACCGACCCCCACTCAGCTGGCAGACCCCCACTCAGCTGGCAGACCCCCACTCAGCTGGCAGACCCCCACTCAGCTGGCAGACCCCCACTCAGCTGGCAGACCCCCACTCAGCTGGCAGACCCCCACTCAGCTGGCAGACCCCCACTCAGCTGGCAGACCCCCACTCAGACCCCCACTCAGGTCACAGACCCCCACTCAGCTGGCAGACCCCCACTCAGGTCACAGACCCCCACTCAGCTGGCAGACCCCCACTCAGGTCACAGACCCCCACTCAGCTGGCAGACCCCCACTCAGGTCACAGACCCCCACTCAGCTGGCAGACCCCCACTCAGGTCACAGACCCCCACTCAGCTGGCAGACCCCCACTCAGGTCACAGACCCCCACTCAGCTGGCAGACCCCCACTCAGCTGGCCCCTAATTCCTTCACACCTGGCAGTGACCTGCATGTTCATTTTGTGTTGATGGGAGTGGGTAGACACTTGCTTGATGGTGTCCTATACATAATGTGGTTTAGTTAACCTTGAGGGAGGTAGGAACAATATGATGGAATTGACTGACAATAATTGGAAACCCAATTTAGGTTTCAATGAATTCATACATTCATGATTGTCACCTTAACACTGCTGTTAAACTTTGTTGTCATACTCTGTTGATATTGCTTACAACTCAGCAAATTAAGTCAATTTTTATGGAACGTGACAAATATTGGCCTTCACCCTTTTACAGGATGTTACCAATTGCCAAGGGCTCAGACTTGGGCATTAGTGCTCATGGGTCATGATGCAGCCTGGGAGGGAACCCCAGCTCACCATGTGGGAGCTGGAGGCTCATACCATACCATCATGGAGGCCACAGATTGTATTATGGTGTAGTTCTTGGACAGTCTGATGGGGTTGGCAGTCACCATAATGATCTAAACACTGCTGGCAGATTGTCGCTGTCTGTGCCTGCCCTCCACCGGGGTTCGTGATGGAACAGGGTAGAGAAATGTGTGCGGTGAAAGATCCAAAACCTTAATGGAGATTTGTAAGGGCATCCCAGTCAGTGACATTTATTTCTCTGCTAGCAGGTGTCCATGACTGATGGGTCACAGGAACCATTCTACTGCCTGTGGATCCATGACCTGCTGACATCAACCTTCGATCCGGAGAGCCGGGTGTCGACCTGGGGTCAGCTGCGGCTGAAGAAAGTGGACATCCTCGGCGCTGTGGTGGCCGCACGAACATACGAAAAACGATCGGAATACGAAGGTCAGTGCACATTTTGTTTCCGTGACAGGAAGGCAGGTTGTCGGCCATTTGAAAGGAACCGCGCTATCTTAATCAGAAACGCTGCTCACTTGTTTGAGAACACGGAAATGCTTTTTCCCGAGTGGTGAGAGCTACCAGGACTCCGGGTGCATTGCCCGCTTTCAATTTCACAGCGGGCACGTGTTCCCCACCCCCCTTAGGTTCCGAGATGCTCGAAGACCCTCTGGAGAGGCTCACACTCCACTGCCAGCCAGGGCCCCTGCGTACTGATCAGGGGTCCCTTGAATCAATAGCCGCCTGAGGGCCCATTCCCCGAGCAGGGACAAAGCCGGAGCCAGTGTTACATTGGTCGGGATCCCGGTGTCTGGCATGGCCCCATAGGTGTCTGGCAGAGCCCCCAGGGACTTGCTCGTGATTCGGCCAGAGGCAGTGTTCGAATAGGCCCGAAGAGCCTGGAGGGCTCACCGAGACCAACGATCAAGGGCCCGTATGGAGGGCTTAAGAGCATGAATGGCCCGTCGGAGTCCTGTTCGGGGTCCCTGGCCTCCGGGGACGGGCCCTCATATGACAGTCAGAGGGCCATTTGCGTCCATCGAGGGCGGGTTATGTGTCGGCTAGTGTCCCCGAGTTGGTCGTAGGCTTTGTTTGAGGAGATGTTAGTCTTACAGATAATGTATGTTGACAGACTAGATGTAGGTCATTATTGAATGGGGAGGAAAGCTAATTCTGATGCGTGATGATTATCATAAATAATGTCTCGCCTACGAAGACGTTAGAAAAGGTTTCTAGAGTTTTTCTAAATCCAGGACATCCTGTGGAAAACAGCCCTGTGGTAAGGTTTAGACCACCATCTCGCTGTTTGAGAAAATATCCAAGATCTTTCTCCAGGATAAGAAGTATACATTGAGCTACAACTGTGTCAAGCCCTACTCGTTGCTGACATTGTTGAGTACATTAGTCAGTGCCATCATTGGGTACCGATGTGAACAGTTTTGATCGTTGACAATGTTTCGGTTGCACTGGCCCCCCTCATCGTGTTCCTTTTGCCTCCTCAGTGGACGACGGCACTGGCGTGATCCACGTGTGCTGGTTCCACCGCGAGCCAGCGCCTTCCGCGGCGGCGCCGGCGGCGCGACCGGCCGAGCCTCCGCTCGCCCGACTGCCGCTTGGAACGCGGCTCCACGTGCGCGGCGGCCTGCAGGAGTACCGCGAGCGCAAGCAGGTGGTGGCATACTCGTTGCGTGTCGTCACCGACCCGAGCGAGCCGTGCGCGCGCGTGTTCCGCCAGGCGGCGCTGTACCGGCAGGTGTACGCGGCCGGCCGCTGACCGGTTGGCCAGCGGCGAGGCGCGCCGTCGCGGACATGGTGGAGCCGCCGGAGCCGCGGCTCGGGACGCACAGCTTCAGCTGTCGCCACCAGGAGACGATCGTGCACTTCCAGGTGCTGCGGCTGGCCGACAGCTTCCTCCTCTGGGCGGCCGACGCGCCCTGCTTCAAGCAGCTGGCCGTGGCGATGCGCTCGCCCGTCTCGCCGGCCCCGGTCGCCTCGCTGCTGCTGAACAAGGCGGGACTCGGCGCCAGCGACAAACTGGCCGCCAAGCTGGCGCAGCGCACCGGCAAGCAAGTGTTTGTCAGCTGTAACGTCAACCTGGACGACGCGGCGCTGCGCCAGGCGGTCGAGGCGCGTATCGTGGAGGAGCTCAAGGAGCATCCGGACAAGTTCTGAGGAAGACCAGCTGGGAGTGGGAGTGGGGGACACGGCGGCCGGTGAGGACGGCGTTCACGTGAGCTGCCTGTCGTGGTGGCTCTGTTGTGATCGTGACTGCCGCTGTTGGTCGTCTCGGCACCTTGTGGCCGGACTGTGGAGTGCTGGAAGCCGCCATGCATGAGGGGGACGGCAGCGGCCCGTGTGCCGGTCTCCAGAGGAGTGCTGGTATGGAAGACAGGGCGCGACAGAGGCGCCGTCTGGAGGGGGAGAGCAGGCGACGCCACCGTCGCGCCGCGGCGCTCGACCTCGACCGACCCGGAGTCGCCGAGGTCGCCCAACAGGGTCTGGTCAGTAAGATTGGAGAGAAGCGAGCTATGCTGGTAATCTTGTGTCACTTCTTCTGCCTGAAAGTGGCGTTGAACCGTCGTGAAACACACGTGGGCTGCATTCACCCACGCTAATTCGTCGTTGCTGCACTTTCGTTAGTTCGATGGCAGTTTTTGTTGTCGCTAAGCTGTGACCATATCCGTCGGCTCCGTTGAATAGTGCCACCAGTGTGCATCCCCAGGGGAGGTGCCCTTTCTGAGTGAGCTGGTGACGCTGACAGGTGCCCTCTGTGAGTGAGCTGGTGACGCTCACAGGTGCCCTCTGTGAGTGAGCTGGTGACGCTGACAGGTGCCCTCTGTGAGTGAGCTGGTGACGCTGACAGGTGCCCTCTGTGAGTGAGCTGGTGACGCTCACAGGTGCCCTCTGTGAGTGAGCTGGTGACGCTGACAGGTGCCCTCTGTGAGTGAGCTGGTGACGCTCACAGGTGCCCTCTGTGAGTGAGCTGCTGACACTCACAGGTGCCCTCTATGAGCGAGCTGGTGACGCTGACAGGTGCCCTCTGTGAGTGAGCTGGTGACGCTCACAGGTGCCCTCTGTGAGTGAGCTGGTGACGCTCACAGGTGCCCTCTGTGAGTGAGCTGCTGGCGCTGGCAGGTGCCCTCTGTGAGTGAGCTGCTGACGCTGGCAGGTGCCCTCTGTGAGTGAGCTGCTGACGCTGAGTGGTCCGGACGGTCCGCCGCTGACCCCGGACACCCTGCGGCGGATCGGCCGAGGTCTAGCGCAGAGCGCGGCGGCGCGCGCGGCCTGGACGGCGGCGCCGGACGGGCGGCGCCGCCTGCAGCGGCTTCTGGCCCCACTGACGGGTCAGTGGTGTTCGGCCCGGCCAGCTGTTTGTCTCCCCCCTCCCCCTCCCCCTCCCCCGCCGATGGAGGTCCATCTCAGCCTGTGGTGATGGCGCCCTCCCCTCACCCAGCCGATGGAGGTCTACCTCAGCCTGTGGTGATGGTGTCCTCCCCTCACCCAGCCGATGGAGGTCCATCTCAGCCTGTGGTGATAGTGCCCTCCCCTCACCCAGCCGATGGAGGTCTACCTCAGCCTGTGGTGATGGTGTCCTCCCCTCACCCAGCCGATGGAGGTCTACCTCAGCCTGTGGTGATGGTGTCCTCCCCTCACCCAGCCGATGGAGGTCCATCTCAGCCTGTGGTGATAGTGCCCTCCCCTCACCCAGCCGATGGAGGTCTACATCAGCCTGTGGTGATGGTGTCCTCCCCTCACCCAGCCGATGGAGGTCTACCTCAGCCTGTGGTGATGGTGTCCTCCCCTCACCCAGCCGATGGAGGTCTACCTCAGCCTGTGGTGATGGTGTCCTCCCCTCACCCAGCCGATGGAGGTCCATCTCAGCCTGTGGTGATAGTGCCCTCCCCTCACCCAGCCGATGGAGGTCTACCTCAGCCTGTGGTGATGGTGTCCTCCCCTCACCCAGCTGAAGGCGCCCTTGGTAAAATTGCGTTCGCGGCAGTCCCAAGGGCATATGTTGCATCGAATGTGCGACGATGTTACGTGCTGTTTGTGTCTTCGGATTCGTCTGGCCGCCTGCGTCTTGTCTGCCGGGGCGTAGTTCTAACTGGTGTATGTGCGCTGTTAGGTTGCCGGGAAAGCAAAGTCGTCTGTCCTGAAGGTTGACTTCGGTCGGATTTTCCAGTTACGGTGCATAATGTTCATGTTGAGTCTAGGGCAGTCATTTTTAGGCCTGCTGTTTTTTTGGGGGGAGGCAGGCGTCATTGCCCACATGTTACTGTCGTGCCGCATCGCCAGGTGATGATCCGGACGCTCAGCTGGAGGCGGCCGCCTGCCTGACGAACGTGGCGGCCGGCCCGGTGTCGCTCGAGGTGGCCCAGATGGTCGGCAGCTACCTGGTCACACTGTCGGCCAGCGCCAGCCCGCTGCTCCAGGTCAGGCTCCAGGGCCTGTCAGTGGTGACGGGGCGCGCTGGCGACCGAGGCGGGGGCACTCTCGGGTGGCGCCACTCGCTGAGTCATTTCAGGTCAGGCCGTCAGGTCCCTGAATCCACGTGTTGCGGCTGTGGAGGCGTGACGACACCAGAACGACGAACTCGGAGTAATGTGGTGTTTGTCATGCGGAACAAGTCTGACTTTGGTCGTCGCACCTGCAGGACCAGTGCATCTGGGCTCTGGGGAACATGGCTGCCTCCGGTACCGAAACGTGCGCCTTGCTGGCCGCACAAGGCATGACCGCTGCTGCCATCTCGTGTTTGAAGTCGATACACAAAGTTGTTCGAGAGTCCGCCGCTGCAGCCATCGCAGTGTTTTTGACGCATGCCTCCGAGGAAAGTGCAAGGTGAGCAAGTCACATCAGATTAGGTGCGATCGTGATCTTGTCAGTCCTCTCCATCTGCCTTTTTCTCCGTGCGACTTGCTTTTTCACGTCGGAAGAACGAAAGCTGTGTAGTTGGGACAGTCATTGGTCCAGAGTGACATCTTGTCGATGGTTTTCCAAGGACGCCAGGTAGCCAGTCGAGCTGGACGGTTTGAGCAAGTTTGACTGCGGGGGGTAAAAAAGGCTTGTGCTTTCCCAGTAGCATAGTTGACAGTGTTGCGACAGATGATGGGTTGGTCACTTTAGTGAACCCCCCGCCACTAGCGCTAGAGTTCCATGTTCGCCAGCCATCGGCCCCCATTGGTGCACCATTTGTGCGTTCGCCATGTCTGCGGCGCAGCTGCAGTCCTTCACCGCCGCTTGCCGCCGTTCGCAGCCGACTGGCGCCGGACCTGCTGCCGCTACTGAGCCAGCTGCTGGCGTTGGACGCGCCCGCCGCCTGCCAGTGCCTGGCGGCGGCGGCGGCCAGCCCTGCCGCCGAGTCGCTGCTGGCACCGGCGTCGCCTGACCTGCTTACCTGCGTGGTGGACCTGCTGCTGGCGGCCGTGGCCGAGCCGCTGCCGGCACTAACGGTGCTGCGCGCCCTCACGCACCTGCTGCGGGCACTGGCGCAGCTGGTGCTGGCGCCGGCCGTGGCCGTCGCGCTGCTGCGCCACCCTGCGACTGTGCGCCTGCTGACCGGCCTGCTGCGCCACCGGCAGCGGCACGTGCGCCGCGAGACGCTGCTGCTGGCGGCGCCGCTGCTGTGCGCGCCGTCGGAGGCGGTGCGCCGCGCCGCCGACGAGGCCAGCCTGGCGGTGCGCCTGGCGTCGCTGCTGGAGCAGGTTTACGTGGGGGTGCGGCCCGACGGCGCCGGTGTGGACACGGCCGCGGCTTGCGGCGCTGGGCGGCGCGCTGGGGGTGGGATGAACTCTGAGACGCCTGGCTGGCTTGGCCGTTGATGGATGTCGCGCAGCTGTGGGGGGCTCCTGGCGGTGATGATGCGTGCCAGAATTGCTCCGAAGAATGCAAGAGCGCTGTCTGAATATGGAGAGAACTGCGATCGGTGGTGCGTGTTTGCGTAATGCGTGGATGATGCCTGACCTTTCGAAATCACGTTCGCTTGGACCTACGCTGACGTCGCACGGACTGGATGCGGCTGCTTGGTCGTGGACTGCGTCCCGAGTGACCTGGGAAGCTTTTGATTGTGATTTGCGGGTGATGCGGCGCGTGCCCGGAGTGCGGCATGAGATGCGCTCGGTTTCGAGAAGTGTTTGTGATTTACGACCTGCCACTCTAAATAAAGGAGCAGACGGAGTCTGCACCGGCGTTGCAAAATACGAGCACAGAATTTGCGGCGGTGTCATGCATTGAGTAATCCGTAAATGGCGACCGCACCCGGTGATGTTCCGGCGACCGCAACAGACTAGGAATAGACGTGTTCTGGTGGGGCGCCGGCCCGTACCCGCCGAAGCACCCCGCTCTCCCGGCCCGACGCCGGCCTCCGCAGGCTGGTCGCGCCGCTGCGGATGGTGTTGTCCCCCTGCCCGAGGCGGGGTCCCGCCGGCCGGCGCGCCGTCCCCTGCCGGCTCCGCCTGCACCCGCCGTCTCCGTCGCCTGCTCAGTTCCGACGGGTCGTATTTACGGCGCGGCCGCCGCCGCCGCCGCCGCCGCCGCCGCCGCCACCACATCAGCATGACAATACGGCGGTCGCGTCTCCGCGGACATATACATGGCGGCCGTCGGCGGCGTTATCGCGCCCCCGCCGTCACCGGACGCGCTCTCCCTCGCCTTGAACAGTCCATTCGTGTCTTCCCGCCGCCAGTTAGTATCTACCGTCCGCTGGGCCGCGTAGCTTACCATTTTTTTTCTCTCCCTCGGGCCGCCTGGTGGCGCGGGGTCAAGGTTGGCGCCACTTTCTCCGCGCGTCGCCTGGCTGATTCACCTTTGGACGGCCGACCGACGCCCGCACGCGCGCGCGCAGTCCCGCGCGCCTTTTTGCGCCGCCGGTGAATGCGTCTGTCCGGCGGGCACGCGCTTTTTGCGGCCGCAGGATCAGCTTAAGCGTCGCCTGACCCGGCTGACGGGCGCTGTCAGCTGGCACAGCGAGCCCAGCGCGCGGGATGTGCCTCAAAATCGAATGCGATATGAATGCAACCAGGGAATGCGATGCATATCCCCCTATGGTATTTTATGTGATTTGCGATATCCGCGCAGATCTCTTACATCGCCGTATAGCGTCTTGCATGTCGGCTGGAGAACGCGTACTGTGCGTCTGCGCTGCCGTCCCTTGGGAAGTATTACTTCGAAGAACCCCACGTTCTAGATCCGGAATTTTATTCAGCACGTCATGGTGCTGCTGGCGTCGCGCCCCGCCAACAAGTGGCGGGCGTCACCTTATGGCGGGCGGATACAACACACCGGCTCCGATGACAGCGGCAGCGAGCCGGACGACCCAACAAGGAGACGGCGATCAGCTCGGGGGGGGGGGGGGTGCAACCACGTGCTTCCTGCGAACGAGCAACACGCTGCATGAAGTGGAAGACCATTGAGACAGAGAAGCTGGGAGAGACTGTACGCTGTTCGCTATCCGATCATGTGTTAATTTGACTTATCAGTCTTTCATGCGCACGGGCTCAAGGCACACAGGTTGGCGGCTGCAACCGTGCCCAGTCGCGGGTGCCATATTATTGCTTCACTGTGGATGGAGTCGGATTCTACTCTGGAATCAACCCAATGTCTGTTTTAGCCAGAGCAGAATCAGTTCCTGGGGAAAATGTGGGAGCTGAGTTGGCTCATACATTTAGATGTTACAATGTGGCCCCAGTGTAGTGTAGCTGATTCTCCCAGATGGCTCTCGACGAGAACCTACCCATAGGCCAGCAGGCGAGCACACTTCTTATGTGTGGTTTGTGTAGGCCACCACGTATACGGAATGTACGTAATGTGCACGCATATAGTTGATGTTCTTCCATTGTAGGTGGTCTGGACGGGGCATGACATAAATGATGATGACTGGTAGCTAGTCGGCTAGCTACAGCTCCTTACTGTTGCTGTGTGTTAGCTGGAAGTCCTTACCAAAACGGGTTCTGTATAGTTTTCTCTTTAGGAACAGTTTGTCTCATGACCTGCTTTCCCGACATCGGCTACACTGAAATTGATCTCGGAATGCATGCCCAAATTTCTGAATCAACAAACTAAATCAGCCTCAGGCGTGGTGAGTCGAGGTGGCAACCAACCGCAAGTCCCCTAGTAGCACGCATCGCCCAAACCGTAGCGAAATGGCAGGTAAGAAATGGTGTTTTTGATCACCGGACGATACCAGTATGGAAAGTCTTCTCTTGTTGCACCGATGTGCGTTGAAAAAATCATTCTCTCGGCGTTCGATAGGCCTGCTCGAGCTACGTGGTCTTTCACCGAACCGTGCATGATCATGCGCTTGCATTCGTAGCATCTGTCTTGGTTCTCGCAGATGATCGGATCGATCGGGCTGAATAATAAGCTGGCTCGTACTCACCTGTCAGCGTCTACGACTGGTGATCATTAAATGCCGACTCGCTAGGGAGTCTCCACTCTGTATTCGCTGGGAGTGCTATGAGTCACGCGTGATGTCATGCAGCGGGCTACAGCGATGAAGAGCCGTGACATGCATGGGGTATTTTTGCCGCAACATTTGGAGAGAGCCTGCCGCAGCCTGCTTAAGGGTTTGGTGCCGGATGTTACCCGACTGGCGCCGTCACGAGTCCTCTGCTGCAGCGGTTATGGCCGCCATGTTTGACGACAGATGGCTCGCGCAGTCGCCCTCTTGCCGGGCCGCAGCCTCCTCTCAGCGGACCTCCCTCGCTCCGTCCACTATGCTCGGCAGCCTCTTGAGTGGCGGGCAGAGTGTTTTCGCCCGGCTGGCGGCACCTGCAAAGGACCGCAGCGCACAGCCAGCCGCGCTGTCGAGCAGTCGGCACGATCTCCGCGATAGGCCGCCCTGGCGTGCATATCGCAGCAGCGATTCTCGATGCAGCAGCCCACTGCGATGGCAAATAGACGCTCTGAAGACGGCCGCCTGCATTCGACGATGCAAATATGGTGTGTGTGCGTCTGTACAACCGAACATCAAACGGTGGTATCACGACACTGACGGCTGCTGCGTGCAGCTACTAGCTGTACACGGATCTAGATTAACGATAGCGGTATACGCTTCTGTAGGATATAGATGCCGCGCGGCGAGGGAGGGTCAGCCGGAAACTTATTTCTGCCTTCGAATGAAACCCCCTTAACCCGCGGCGTTCTCGGAATCCGTGGGCAATGAAAGTAAGCTGCATGTTTTCCGCCTCTGCACGTATTCAGTCCCCTGTCCTTTTTACATTTCTGCCCCCCGTCTACCCCAAAACTTAGCGACGTCACGGCTACAGCAACCGCCATGGCACCAGGGCCGCGGACCGTCGGCGCCCCCCCCCCCCCCCCCAACTACCGCATTACGAGTTATGGGCGGCTACTGCGCTCCGTTGCACTGGCGTTGCGAGCAGTGCCTGCTACCGTTAACAGCCGTTGAAAGGGTGACTGGGCTCGCTCGGGCTGGCCGCAGACCCTCCAGCCAAGCCTCATGAACCACGTGAGCCCCGTCTGTATCAATCTGCTGTAGTGCAAGTGGACGGACCTGTTTGGTTCACTTTCTGGTCCAATGTAACCTACCCGGCCCGCGGCCAAGCAATGTAACAATGGTCTGGGCAAACGGCCCATTGTAGGTAGCCGTGTCTGTTGTGCATACCAAACAGGGCTTCACCGAGCAGGCGCGGCAGAAGGAGAGCCGCGCGACCTTGCGTTCTCGCAGGGCTAGCGCGACCCGAGACCGGTGGTTTGACTCTCGTACAGGCTAAGCGCTTCGGCAATGAAAATTCACGGAAAGCCGGCCACGAGCCTGGTGGGGTTGCAGTGGTGTATCGAGTCACCTGCAGCAGGTGACCCCGAGCAGCTATCTGCAAGGTCCATCAAGACGACCTGTCCCAAGACAGCGGAGGCGCGACCAATGTCGGAATGGTGACGTAGCTCAGTGCTGCAGCCTGGCAAGCGCAGATACGCCATACAGGGTGATGGAGTGATTTCCATTCAAAGGTGGCTTATGTCACATGTCGATTTAATTTGCATTAGAGCTCACTGTGCTAGGCAGCAAGCATGATTTCGTCGACTGCTTGGGCCGGCAGCCGAAACATTTCTGTTCACATAGCTGTGACACATACGTCATCTGAGTAAACGCGTCGTGGTAACGTTTAGAAGCCGAATCACGGGCTGAATTCATCAGCTGAATGAACATTGTTGTGCATTCTGCGACAGTCCACGACAGGCAACCAGCAGCCTGTCGTCAGGGACAACTAGTATGCGTCTATATATATATATATATATATATATATATATATATATATATATATATATATATATATTGGTACCCAAGAGAAAGGCGACGTCTACAGTGAAGAAAGAAGTGGGTGGGAGTTTGCCACTTCTATTGCTCGAGCTTGTAAGTTGATGGAAATGGCCTGCCGTGTTAAAGAGCACTCTAACAGCAAATGAGCCGCTGAAGATTACGGCAATACTTCAGTGGATATTTGGAGGCAGCAGTCCCTCCTACGTAGCAGTTTCCATAATCTGGACGTTGCTCGCAGTTGCACCTACATTGTTGCAGTTATCGCCTCAACTTTTAACCTAATGCAGAACTGAAGGCGAGCAACTGCTGAGGCGAGCTGCATCAATGGAGAGCATTGCGTCCAGATGCGTCATTGCGCACATGTGTCCCTGCACACATGCCATGCTTCTTTTAACAGCGTTTTACGTCAGATGCACTGACCCATGCGACATTTGAATGCATTGCGTGCGTGTACTACGGGATGCAACATTGACACGGGCAGATGTAAGATGTAAAAGACTCGATCGGAACCCAAAAGCCGACAGGAATTCATCCGCTGTGCTTGGTGTTTGATGTGCACTAGATCATTATGGGATGCCAAGAAATGCATGTTTCGTGGAGCTCTGTCGTGCCCGTGGGCCATGCGGACTATCAGTGATCACAAATCACTGGTTGGATACATATCGGGAGTCTGGCTTGTCTTTTCTGGTTTTGGTTGCCTGGCTGCATATCTGATTAAATGACGACGATGTCTGATTTCAATCATTTTGGTGATTTCAAGATCAGTTGCACAAAATGCTAACGCACGCGCATAACGCCAGCACGAGGAATGCAACGACTCGTGACGTCACGTATCGATCGCGATCCGAAGCAGCCTTCTCCTCTGACCGCCGGCATGGTGGAATGCCGGCGGCCTTCTGCTGTAGGTGCGGACCTTCGAGCGTTCATGACGGAGCTCGAGCGGCCGAGCGACACTCGGCTTCTACTCGAGTCTCTAAGAAGGCCAGTTCCGGCGCGTTTTCGGCAAGGCGGGTTGAGGCAATGGTTTCTCTAAAACCAGTCGTTAATCATGTCGCCCAACTTTTGCATGAAGGCTCAGCGACATCGGTCTTGGAGCATTCCAGGAACGCTTTGGCTTCCCGACATGTGTGTAAAGTCCTGTTCTCCCAGCCAGACTGCCGACGTTCACGCGGCGAGCCCGGGTGGGTCTGGCACCGTGCACCGTTTACCCCACATCAGAGCCGATTGCGAACCAACCGCAACCCGGTGCCCGCTTCCACATTCGGCGTCGAAGCGAGCAGAACACCATAGCATGTGCCGCCAAGCGCTGCCGGTACAGCCCGGCCGCGGTGTAAGCGGCGCGGTAACGGACGGCGCGGGCCCGCGTGCGGCTGGGAAAGGCGGTGCCGGTGGCGGCGGCGCGCCCGGCCGACTCTCAGGGCGCCGCCGACCGGCGCTGCTCACTTTCGCGGCCGCTGCGCTGACGGCGGCGGCGCGCCGACGAGCACGGCTGCCGGCGGCAGACTACAGGTTCCCGTGAAAGGCTCGGCTGGCTTTTCCGCCAGGGCGAGCGTTCGATGAGGCCGCGATGGTAGGCCCGGGCTGCACGGACAGCGCAGACGCCCGGGTGGAGCGCGTGCCTGCGGTTGATGTGTGTCTGCAGTCGGCACACTGATCTTCAACTGGCTGCACGGCCAGAAGGCCGGATCAAAATGGCAATGCCTTGGCAGAGTTTCAGGCCTTGTGTGCTGGCGATCGCAATGCATGTTCAGCTATTGGCTCAGGCGTATGCGCTGCACCTCGTGAGATAATGTCATTGCACTCGACCAACGGTGCGCCTTCTACGGCCAGTGCTTGGTGTCGCCAGGATGGGGTTGGCGGGTTTTAGCTCGCGCGAACGGTTCTCGCCGTAATAGCTGCTCAGGTCCAGCTACGTCGGTCAAAGACTGATGTGTGTGTGTCGACTTCGGGACCACGATTGACCACGGCACACCCATGACTGCAAACACCGCCGATCGCGACGGACGTCCGAAACTCATGATCTCCACGGTTAACAATCCTCATTTTGACGACATCGTAGGCCTCGTAAGATTCGATGCCTCTGTTTCATGACCAAAGTGCGCTGCACGCGAAAGCATTCGGTCGGCCGTCATGATTGGGGTCACCAACAGTGTAGTTGTTAAACTGTGTTGGGAAAACCAGAGGTTCGGGGTTCGATTCCCCCCGAACACGTCCCTCTTTACCAGGGTGAGAGGCTGCAAACGTCATGGGGCCTCAGCAGCCGAGTTAGTCGCAAACTCCAACTGACACACGCCCATCGAGACCACCGGAATGTTATAACTTGCTGTGGCAGGAACTACCTGCCCCTGGTGCAGCCATGGAAATGTCATGGAACCGCGAGACATGGACGCCCGTTTTGAAAAGTCCGGTGTGCCTTTCTTATTCCAAAGGGCGTCTCAGTAACTGCTCGTGATTAAAATGCATTGGACATGCTAGTTCCTTCGTTCCCCATGCCCAGTAGCGAGAAAAACGAGTCGGGTAAAGCAACCTCTATCGTTTGCCATGAGAAAAACGGGCCGGCTTAACGTCAATCCTCCACCGAGGGAATAACCAGGAGATGTCTGCTACCTGCCCCGCCGTTCACCTGACGGCGGGAGATCGGACCAGGGCTCCCAGGCCCGAGCGTCGCTGGTCGACAGGCCGGCGATGTCCGGTGGTGCTCGTCTTGGTTATTGTGAGGTGGGGGTGTGGGACTAGCGGACCAGCAGCGGTTAGGGAGGGCCGAGAGATCTGGGACCGGTGGATCAGCGGACCAGCAGCGGTTAGGGAAGGCCGAGAGATCTGGGACCGGTGGACCAGTGGACCAGCGGCGGCTAGGAGGGGGAGGGGGGGGGGGGGCGAGAGATCTGGAACCGATAGACCAGCGGACCAGCAACGGCTAGTGAGGATCTAGAGATCTGGGGCCAGTGGACCGGCGGACCGGCGGCGGCTAAAGAGGGCCGAGAGATCTGGGACCGGTGGACTGGCGGACCGCTGGACACGCGGGACGACGGAGTTCGGATATAGCCAGAGTGTTCACTTCCACAGTGTGCACACACATCCAGACTGAACTGCGATGGAACACGTTTGGTTCTGAGTGCATAGCACCAACATCAGCCGTGTAATATGGTAACTTCATGGACAAGTTCATACGCTTGGGACGTCACACGATCTCCTGCCCTATCACCCTGGGACGTCACGTGATCTCCAGCCCTATCACCTTGGGACGTCACATGATCTCCAGCCTATTACCCCCGTCCCGCCGCATGTTCACATGTCCAAATGGTCAACTACGGGAGCAGCATGACTGTTTATGTCATGGCCACATTATCTACCACCGCTAGCATGAACCGACAGTGATTACTAGCACCACACCCTGTCGTGCTGGTTGCCATCATACAGCAGCCAACGCCACGAGCTTGTTGCCACCATGCAGCGACCAACGCCACGAGCCCAGAGCCAACAGCCGGAGTCCCTTGGGTCCGGTCCAGTCCGGCAGTCCTATGAGAACTGAAGCGGACGGGAGCAGCGCTACCGGACGTTAGCCGGCCCCCGTCTGTGCCCGCACGAGCCCAGCACGCGTCCTCACACCGGGACCGGAGAGCCAGCGCACGCCGCTGATCGCATCCAGCGGGAGCGAGCTGCCGCCGCGGCGGCCGCCCCCCGCGCGCCGGGCCGGCCGGCCGTGACGTCAGCGACCGGCCGTCGGATCGCCTTATACGGCGCGGCGGGGCGGGGTCAGGCCGGCCGAGAGGTCAGGGCCCCGGGCGGCGGAGGCGCGGCCCGGCCGGCCCGCCGGCAGTCGGGCGCTGCACGCGCTCGGGGCAGGGCGCAGGTGTGTGAGAGTGCGACCGTGGCACCCGCTGACGGCCTCCAGGCCATGATCTGACCACCGGCCAGGTGAGCGGAGGTGGCGTGTCGCCCACCTGCCCCCCCCCCCCCCCCACCCTGTTCTGCATTTAGCCCCGCCTTGCTCGCGTTTACCGCCTAGCTAGTTCGCCTAGCTGCACAGTGACGGCGTTTTCGAATGTTGGCGGCAGGCTACCCTGTCTGATCCGTTGCGTCCGGTTTCTTGAAGCGTCATCAGGACCCCGGGCGCAAAAGCTTACACTGCTTACACTCATTCCCTGTCACTCGCGGACTGTATTCATAAGCAGTGTGTTATCTTAACGTCCTCCTTATGACTCTATTGGAAGCATGCT